AAAAAAAAAAAAAAAAAAAAAAAGGAAAAAGTTGTACATGAAGAGAAAGGAAATGCACTTGCACCCGTATGAGAAATAATAGTATGGTACGCTTCTGAAAAATTCTTTCAGATCATTGACTGTTTAAAGGCCTTGCACTTGGCAGGAGAAATAAACTTTTCATTATAATTTGTAATTTATAAAAATTATCTTGTTTCTTTAAAAGAGATTGCTAAGGAAATAGTTGACAGAGAGAAGATGCTTTCTGTAGTACTTCTGTGTCCTCCTCTGGTATCATTAGTAAACTAATGCTGGTGGATTCAAGAGAACATTTATGTTGTTAGACACATACTTTTTCAAATAAGAGGTAAGAGAAGGACTTAAGTCTCATTGTTGGTTTTTCTGTAAGGACAAGAGTATTAACTTTAGCTTTCTTGCCAAATCTCAGAGTAGATAGTTGTATTCTTTGATCCTGAATTGCCCATCTAATGTCATGTGGATAATGCATTCCTCACCATTTTCTGTTCTAAACTGTTGGTTCAATTTCTATATGCTAATGAACAATGCCATGTTTCACAGGTGAATAAATTCAACAGTATCTGCAGCAGTGTATGATTTCATAAGTGTTTAGGAGACTTCAAGATGAAACATGCTATATAAAAGAATGAACTTTATCATACCTGAAAAATGACATAAACAGATGTGTCCTTATTAAGAAGATATCAGTGACTGACCATCATAAACCACACATTAAAAGTCCCTTCCTGGTGCAGCACGAGATATTACTCACACTTCTTACACTTTCAGTGGGCTCAAAAGTTAACCCAGAAAAGTCTTAACACATTTGCAACTTTTTGGTTGAAAACTGCGGAATCTTTTACAAAAATATGACTATGATGGGTTCAGCTTAAACAAAGAAGGCTACCTTTTAACAGCCCAATTCAATTCTTAGCACTGCCCCAATAGTTTCATATTCATTATATTTCAATGGTGAATTCTAAATTTCAAGTATTTGTTTCAGAAATTTTAACTATTAAAAAAGGGGGCAAAAAAGGACAATAAAGAAGTAGAATTACAAATGCCTCTTAAACACTGACAGACTTGGGGCATCAACCTCCTCTCTAGGAATCCTGTTCCCATGTCTGACCAACCTCTCAGTAAAGAAATGCTTCCTAATGTGAAGCCTGGACCTCCCCATGTTGGCTTATCCACTCTACCTTCTTGAATAGTAAGCAAAATCCTCCAAATTTTACAGAGACTATGCTTAGTATAATCTGAATTTAACGATAACTTTGAAATTGATACAATGTCAATCTTCACATTACAGCCTGCAGTATTCTTATTATGCAAAATTCCAGTGAAAAAACTTTGGACCTACTTGTAACACATCAGTGAACGAACTTTTATGGTCCATTTGTGTGGGATTTTTAAAATATAGTAAAATAGGGAGAGGAAATCTACACGTGTAATTCAAAAGAAATTAAGTACAAAAGATATATTAAAATAAGGCTCAAATACTTGTTCAGTTTATCAAAAG